TTACTAAGAAGTTATGGACAAATCGTACAATTGTGACATTTTTAAGTATTATCTCGATAACTACAACCAAACAAAATTTAAATAGGTGAACAAATAGTATGTTAACTAGAAAGCGACATTGTTGTGCATTTATAACATGGAAAACTGTCAAAATCTTATTTGGCAAGTTTTTATTTGCTTTCAAACAAAATAAAAGAATGTGTGGAACTGAACAGAAAAACAAATATATGGCTTTCGTAGTTCTATTGACGAGTAAACAATAAATCATGAAAATTCTCGTTTTTACTTCTGTCTTATTATAAGAAACATATTTCATCTTATGCAGTTAGTATTTATCAGCAATGGATTTTTTCAGGCTTTAGCTTAGACTCATCCTGACGTACATTAGATTTTTTGTACCTAACCATCAATTTTTTAACAATCTATCACCAATGGTCTGTAAATTTTGTGTGTCTGTTGAGCTGAAATGAAGTTTATAGATTAAATATTTAAGTTATAACTTTCTTTATTTCATAGAAAGGCCAATTTCCTGTTGATTGTTTTTACTAGGTTTGCTAGTAAGGGTATTTAAAATATAACTTAGTACGAATATAACTGTGTTTTATAGTAACTATCATACAAAAGTGATGAGAGATTTTAGCTTCACCATAGGTTAAATGATATTACGTTGTTCCCTTGACTGGATTAATAACTTCAAGTAGAAACTATCAGTTTAGTGGATTTTTTATAACTTGGTTTACTAATCTGTGTCTTTAAAAATTATTGATCATAATTATTCACATGATCTGTTGAAGCCTCATACAACAATCAGTTCTCTTTCTGAACTGAGTTATTATATCGTTTTTAGTAAAAGATATTATTAAGTTTAAATTACTGAATGTAGTTTATAGTCAAACAGATAATCGTCAGCTCGTTTAGCAAGTTGTTAACGTGAGATATTAGAATTTTTCTCAGTGCTTTCTTGTTTTCATGCTCGCTCGGAGAGTTGGTAATCCTGGATATGCCTAGGTTAGTGCCCACCTATTGATGAGGTATTTCAGACGACATAATAACTGCTGATTGTTTCGATTCTTCCAACGGTTTTTAGTTGATTTAAGCTTTCAAAGGACACCGTCTTCAATTTGAACAACTTGAATTCAAAGTCTAAACATTTGATTCGTGATAATTAGCTCAATTGGATAATCACAGTCTAGTATCATCTGGAAAACTCACGCAGTCCCAGACTAGGAAAAAACAGTTCTCCGATCTTTTCTGGTTCACAACGACCATCCAAATTACGTTGATCCTTTATGAAAACAGTCTGTTAAGTAAGTTGATTACTAGCAACAATAAGACTTCCTTTAGATTGTTTATTAAACCTAAAAATATTGTGGTTGTTTACAAAAACAGTAACCAAAATGAGACTTTCTGAGGGTTTATCTTATGATACAAACAGCTACAAACTCAAAGACATCATGCAGATCGTATTATCCACATGATTTGAAACCAAACGTTTTACCAAGTTAAGTACTTTAATGGAGATTTTAGCACTAACAATCAACTAGGATTAGGAAATTATGATTGTAACTGAACATATAAATTGCCAAAAATCGGCAAGTCTTTAGTAGTCACTATGGTTTCCAAGAAACCTTTAGTTATCCTGATCTTGTATGACCTAATGACTGTATGATGGTAAGTATCTCAAACAAGAATGAAACAAGTGAATAGATCTCTTTAGCTTCATCGGTTCTTTAAGTCATATAAATCCAAAATAAAAATCATGTTTAATTTAGAAATAACTATTTTATAACTAACTTCGCCTGTAGCACTTCTAGGGTTACTAAAGGTCCCGAACCCAGGTAAAGGAGGAGGGTTGGGCATGGGGTCAACAACCCCGTCCCGTAGAAAACAACTTTGCTAAAAAAAACGCTAACCAGAATAAACATATTGAAACACTTAAACTCTGCCCTCCGAATTGAAAAAAGTATTATGACGCTTCATGGTGAAAGCCAAGATCATTCAGAAGTAACGAGGCGGATGCCCTCCATAACAACCAGTGAAACAATTAATGTACGTACGCGGAATTTTCGGACAATGTAGGAGACCGGGAGAACCAGTCAAGTAGCTATGAAAATGAGGAGATACAACCAAACAGTGCTCGGAATCAGTGAAACCCATTGAACCCAAACTGGATAGCAGAGGCCAGATACGTCAGAAATGCTGCTGTAATCCAGTCACGAAGACGAACATGCTCCACACACTTAGGGACTTGCTCTGATGCTGCCCAAAGAATCACGAAATGCTCTTATAGGATGCGAATATCATAAATCTAGGATCATTAGGGTGCTATTCAAGACAAATTTGGAGAAAATGGCAATGAATTGTATCCAGTGTTATACACCAAAGATCAGTTTTGCGAGAGGCTGCAGTCAATCATAGTGAAGTGATTGGGAAAAGACCTGACCATCCTGATAGGAGACCTAAACACCAAAGCCGGAATGAACAACAAGGGTTATGAAGATATCATGGGACGACGTGGACTGTGAGAACGGAAGAAAAATGATTAGATCACCACCTGGTGTTCGCTAAGATGAAACCGAAGCCAACAAATAAGGACTAAACAACTGGAGAAACAACAGCACAAAGGTTCAATACAGCCTTCCTTCAAGATACTAACAAAATAAACAAATTCAAGATAGCTCACAACATCAGGTTCCAAGAGTTCCAGGATCTACTTAAAGAAGAAGAAACTACTATGGAGGACGACTGGTAAAGAGCCAAAGAGGCACTAAGTTCAACGTCTCACGAGCTGCTGGATCACAAGAAGCACCATCATAAGGAATGCATCTCTATCGAAACTCTTCACAAGATTAAAGAATGGAAGAACAAGAAGAAACCAGTCAACAATAGCCGAACAAGTACAGAGAAAGTCTGGGCACAAGCTGAGCATACAGAAGCAAAATAGCAAGTGAAGAAGAGTATTAGAGATGACAAGTAGAAATATGTGGAGGACCTAGAAACGACAGTGGAAAAGTCTGCAGAAGAAGGGAATATGAGACAGCTAAATGACACAAAGAAGAAACTGTCAAGGAAATACAGTAAACCAGAGACACCAGACAAAACAAGAAAGGCAAGACAATCACCGAGATTCATAAAGAGAGGAAGAGATAGGTAGATTAGTTCGAAGAACTCTTGGAATCAGTATGGTCATCAGACAAACCAAGAGTGGGAAATCAGCAAGACCTGACAATATACCAGCTGAAGCACTAAAGTCAGATATGGAAGTAACTGCAAACATGATTTACACTCTATTCAGGAAGATTGGGAGGAAGAATAGGTGACAATGGCCTGGAAAGAAGGACACCTCATCAAGATACGAAAGAAAGGAGATTATAGCGAGTGTGAGAACTATAGAAGCATCACACTACCATCGGCACAATTAAAGGTTTTCAATGATGTTGCTGAATTGGATGAATGATTTAGTAAACATCCAATTTCGAGATCGACGGGCTGGACTCCGTGAAGATTGATTGTGCACAGACCGAATCGTGGTAGTACTATCGATAAACCTTTTTTCATATTAACAGCATGGTTCCAGAAAACGTCTCTCTTGTACAACTGACCTGACTGCGGTTGACAGACGGACAACCATCCCTGATCGCACGGGAAAGGTTGATGTTACATACCTTGACTTCTCAAAAGCTTTTGATAGTGTTAACTATACATGCCTTATCAATAAGCTCAAACGATTAGGTGTTGAGTTAGCTTTAATATATTGGCTTACTTCACATCCAAATTGCGAACTTCTTAGGGTCAGAGTAAACTTAACTTTCATTAGGCTATGCAATGTTCATGTGGGGTCCCTTAGGGCTTACCACTAGTATATTTTATTTACTTAATTTACACAAACTGTCTTCCTCAGCAGGTATCGTCTGATCTGTTATTTTTTCACCGATGATGTGAAATTTCGGAGAGAAGTTTGCGAGCAAGATGATAAGCTGGCACTTCAGGAGGATCTGGTTCGATTTTATAGCGGGCAGATAACAACGAACTTTTAGCACTTCAAAGTGTAAAATAGTCCGAGACATGTCACGGACCACGTATACGATTTAGGCAGCTACCTTCCAGAGTTATATCAAGTTAAAAGGATCTAAGGGTCTTGGTACCACACTTTCCAAAGTCTTACGCTAATTGCGACAAAAATACTATTCGAGCAAACCTTGCACTGGTAACGCTGAAGCACATTTTGACGAGTTTAACGGTAAAATGTCCACTTAACCTTCAACATATTTATTCAGCCTCTTTTACAGTATGGAAATATAGTGTTTCTTCCATCCATCAAAAAGGATAAGGATGCATTAGGAAATATCCAACGGCGAGAAGTGAAACCAGTTCTGAGACTCAAATTCGAGCCTTATACAGAGGTAACCTTTCAACGACGTACAAAAACTTTGACACTCTTTGTTACCCCCTCAAATATTCAATTAAGCCCAGTCCCAACAGAAAACTTAGAGATAACACCCAGAAATCAGCGACATGACATAGCAGAACGGACTGTAGGAATATGTTGATTAAAAGTATTCAGGTTACTGTGCTAACTAGTAATTCCTAAAATAGTACAGCAGTTAGTAATAGATGGGCACAAATGAACGTATTATACTTGGAATTCGTAATCAGCGGACTATCCTGTACAAAAGAACCATAGGATCATGGAAACACCGCAAGAAGCACATTCTATTCCTTAAGAGCAGTCAAATTCCTGAATTTTATGCCTGCTAATGCGGTCCAAGTGACTTCCCAGGAGTTGTTTAGGAGAAAACGTGACATATTTATAAGGACAAAGCATATTATCTCAATATTATCTACTAATATTTCCCTCTCCTATCATTAAACATACTTAGGTTACTACTCAGCGGCATCGATAATCGACCAAAATTAAATATGAAAGGCCATTAAGCGAAAGCTTATTCTATTCTATCCAAAACCATTTGTATATGTGAACCACATCGGAGAGTTTTCTCAAGGCGCCTGGTTCAACTGTGACCTCGAAGCTCAAGGTAGTTCACTAGGCTCCTCTTATACCCGTCCTGTTTTTCTGCCGTGCAGACTACTTATTCTGAGTCAAAAAACTGACAACACCAGTTGCTGATCGGATATCCGTTGGTTGAGCACAGCTTAGTTTATACAAAGTCGACTATCTTAAGGTTAGATTCATTTGAATAATATTGTTTAGATCACTTTCTAATGAATAATCCAATTGAACTGTGCGAATCTGTTGCAATTAATGACACGTCAACCTTGCAAAACACCGTCAAAGATTTATGTCACAGGGTTTGTTCCCTTTCTCATTAATTTTCGTGAAATAGCTGGAGAAAAACCCTTTCGATTATAATGCACACGTACAACTCATCGAGTGTCTACGAAAAATAGGCGATTTCAAGAGACTCAAAACTTCGCGTGAGCGTATGCACGAAACCTATCCACTTACTCCAGGTAATTTAAATATTGTGAAAGTGTTTCCTGACAGTTTGTTAAGTGTTGTCTTTGGCTTATACAACCTGTCTAGTTTATTTTAGCCATATAATATCGATACGATGCTGTATTTTGTGGGTCTCCATAAGTGTCGCAGCAAAACGTAACACTTTCAGTCCCAGTAAGGAAACAAATCAGAAAAGTCTGTGCTTTCTTTGGAATAAGAATTTACCAATCCTACGTTTTGAATATATTTAATAGACGAGATTTAATAATTTATCGAAACTTGAATTCCTCCTGGTAATTCTTTGATGGGGTTCGTGGTAGTTGTTTCGATGTTTGTGAACGTTTAATCAATGTCCATTTAATTTGGAAGATGAGAGTGGGGAATGTTTCGGTCAGCCTTATTACTTAGTAATCTGGTTTGTTTGGTCTAGCTTGGATAGTCTTCCAACAGTCTGAGAAATCGACGATAAGACCATTCGGTCACCTTCACTGAATAGCGAAATGTAATCGAGGATTGTGACAACTTCCTTACCATTTGTTTATGTAGTGTCTAATAACGATGACTTCGAGTTCGAGTATTATTCCGTGGACTCTTTTACATGTGTTGAATCACATGATGTCATTGTCGACCATATTTTACTTCAGAAAGTTATCTAATGGTCCTGTCATTGGATTTCTCCGGTCTATTATGAATGCATAAGTCCCCTAAGATTAGACTTGCCGATAGGAGACTGAGTATTACACTTACCTAGCATTATATTGCTTGTTTGAATCTGTCCCGATCGAAGCTGCTACCTTGACGCGGTGGTCGAGTTTGCCTATCGTGATGACCCAACCGAGCTATATTGGCTGGAACATATGTTCCTGCAGGTTCTACCATGCCAGGCAGGTCGATTGGCGAACGGTAAGACTAAAAGCAGCAACTCAAGGTCTGAGGGCGAAGTCGTACTGCTGACTGTAGAGAGGTGTGACAGCAGTAAGGTGTTTCCCTCGGACAACCAGCATGACAGCGATGCTGCCTTCCCACAAGGAGGAGTGGGGTCAGAAAAGGTCGACCCTAAAAATGCACACCTCACCTTACCTCACGGATTTCCGTCTCCGGCGGTAAGGCCATTTGAAGAACGGAGCTAACACGTCAAAAACCTTCCACAAAAAGGCCGTGCGTGACCGGCCTCAAGCAGTTGTCCCTTGGGCTCTGCGGTCACGCTCCCAGGTCGTCAAGACCAACACTAATCCAATTTCCTTTTCAGGTTCCTCAAGAAATACCCTTCCACGGTGTGGGCAGCGGGGAAGTGACATCAGCCCTCATACCCGTAAAAGCACAAGAGACCAAGTTGGTCACATTCAAATCCTTCCTACACCTCCTAATACCTCTCTTATCCTCCCGACTAACCCTCCTCACGTCTCTTTATCACCTCGCACCGCTAGGGCGAACGATTCGAGTACGTGGAACGCTATTCCTGGTCTCCTGAAACCACGCTCTAAACTACACGTAGGAGCTTTTAACGTACGAACACTTTGCCAAATAGGACAGCAGGCTTCCTTAGCTAGGACTTTAGAATCTCGCGCCATCGATGTGTGCTGCGTCTCCGAAACGCGCATACAGGATCCAAGTAGCGTCATTCATTTGACCTCACCATGCCAAAATAAAGAACCGACTCGATTTACGCTTCGTGTATCTGGAAGCCCTGATTCTGCTTCCCGTGGCCTCGCCGGCGTAGGTATAGCATTGAGTCCTAGGGCAGAACTAGCTCTCTTAGAGTGGATCCCAGTAAACAGTCGTTTGTGCGCTGTCCGACTGAACGGAACAGTAAGGATCCGAAAAGATAGGGACACTCGTCGTTGCCTCTTCGTCGTCTCTGCCTATTCTCCCACTGACTGCAGCTCAGATGATGTAACAGATGAGTTTTACAGAAAGCTTTCGGACCTTCTCCGAAAAGCTAAGCGCTCGGATGTAGTAATAGTGGCCGGTGACTTTAATGCTCAATTAGGTAAACTAAGCTATAAGGAAAGACACCTAGGTGGATCTTATGGTGTCGTGGCTCAAAGAACAGATAATGGCGACCGTCTGTTGCAGCTATGCTCAGATAACCGCCTGTTCCTTGCAAATACTAACTTTAAGCATAAGGAAAAACATCTTTTAACATGGCGACCCCCTAATTCGTCCCAACGTTGGACCCAAATAGATCACATCGCTATCAGCCACCGATGGAGGGGCTCGATAGAAGACTGTCGCTCATTCTGGAGCACATGCCTAGATTCAGATCATGCTCTAGTGTGAGCGCGTATTTGCTTGCGTCTTACTGGACGTAGGAAAGATCCTGCAAGGAAACCTCTTAGGGCCCTACTTAATGATAGTCAAGCTAAGAGTATATTTCAGGAACAACTAGGAAAACAGTTAGGCAGCCATGTATGTGATGCCCACCCCGATGCAGCATGGAATGATATCCGAAAAGCTGTGGAAACAGCAGTGATATCTGCTAGTAAGGTAAACCAGAAGGTTAGGGAGCAACACTGGATCTCAGCAGCATCTATCTCACTGATAGATGCTCAGAAACACATTCCACCTGGCTCTGAACATAATGAAGAGCGGAGTCAGCTTAAGCGCAAGCTGACAAGAAGTCTACGCAATGATTGCGAACAGTGGTGGGTAGCGAAAGCAAGAGAGATGGAAAAGGCAGCGGCAATAGGTAATAGCAGACAATTGTTTAGACTCGTTAAGGAAACCGGAATTAGGAACCCGACCGTTAGCGAAACAATCTCAGAGAAAGATGGACATATTATTCATTCTCAATCCAGGAGATTGGATCGATGGGCAGAACACTTTAGGGATCAGTTCAACTGGCCTTCAGCCACACTTCGGTTTCCCACGATCTTCAGTCAACCTGAATGGCAAGTTAGTGTAAGTCCTCCGTCCCTTTACGAAGTTGAAAAAGCCATAGGAAATCTGAAGCGAGGGAGAGCAGCAGGCCCTGACAGGTTTACTGCTGAGATTTTTAAGGATGGTGGTCCAGTATTAGCAATGAGATTAACCGAGGTCTTAGGTAGAATTTGGGAACTGGACGTAATCCCATCTGACTGGTCTCAATCACTGATTGTGCCAGTCTATAAGAAAGGACAAGAGTCCTCTTGTGACAATCACAGAGGAATCAGTTTGACTAATATAGTCTAAAATATTAGCCTCAATAATACTTCGACGCCTAACTAAAGCTCGTGAAGAGCAGACTAGAGAAAACCAGGCTGGTTTTCGACCTGGACGTGGTTGTATAGATCAGATATTCACACTACGTCAGGTTCTAGAACACAGACACACATTCAGACGCCCCACAATGGTAGTATTTCTCGACCTTAAGGCAGCATTCGACTCTATTGATCGTGAGGTTCTATGGCAGTGTTTGTCACCGAAAGGAGTACCAAAGAAGTACATTAACCTTATAAAGGCTCTCTACTCGAACACAACTGGTAGAGTGAGAGCTTATGGCGAACTGTCATCAGAATTGATCACCTCAAGTGGTGTTCGTCAGGGCTGTCCACTCTCCCCATTCTTGTTCAACTTTGTCATTGACGTACTTTTAGAGATAACACTCTCCTCATCTAAATTTCTAGAGGTTGAACTTCTACCAGGAGGTTCACTTGTTGACTTAGAATATGCTGATGACATAGTTTTATTTGCTGAAGACGCTGACAAAATGCAGAGTCTTCTGACCACTCCAAGCAACAATGCAAGCATGTTCGGGATGCGATTCTCTCCCTCGAAATGCAAAGTGTTGCTTCAGGATTGGGTTACATCGTTACCCGAACTAGTGATAGGGAGTGAAGTAGTTGAGTGTGTCGACCGCTTCACTTATCTTGGAAGTCTCATCAGCCCTTGTGGTTTAGTGTGTGACGAAATCTCAGCACGGATACAGAAGGCTCGACTAGCTTTTGCCAACTTGCGTCATTTATGGCGTAGGAGAGATATCCGTCTATCAACCAAAGGACGTGTTTACTGCGCAGCAGTTCGTTCCGTCCTACTTTATGGCAGTGAAACATGGCCGGTAAGAGTAGAGGATATCCGTAGGTTACTAGTATTTGATGATAGGTGTCTTCGAAACATTGCTCGTATATCATGGGACCATCGAGTAAGTAACAAAGTTGTTAGGAAACGGGTACTAGGTAAGGATGGCAAATCAATTGATGAAGTAGTGAAACTTCATCAGTTGAGATGGCTGGGACACGTGTTACGTATGCCCAACGACCGACTGCCTCGACGTGCCATGTTCAGTGGTATAGGAATAGGTTGGAAGAAAGCTAGGGGCGGCCAAACCAAAACATGGCACAAGTCCATGAAGTCACTGACAAGTGAACTGAGTCATGTTGGTAGGTGTAGACTACCTGGTTGGGGACCGCGAGATGACAGCAACCGATGGTTAGAGACCCTGAATGACATGGCTCAAAATCGTTTGCAATGGCGCAGGTGCATCCACTCTCTGTGTTCTCCCAAATTCTAATCTTCTGAATTCTTCATGTCCCTTTTTTCCTCTTTCCAAATTTCTTTCACTGGATTATACTCTTTAAATAACATCTCCAAACCCTAATCTTCCCGATTACTGCTTATACTCTTATTACCTCTACCACTATGGGATTTGAATCGACAAGTGCATTCCTGTGCTAATGTGGTGTGGCAACTCGAACTGATGTACGTACGTACGAAGTTTTACGTTGTTACTGACTGACTGACTGTTTGAATCTGAGCTGCCGTAAACACGACTGACCAGCAACTCTTATCTTCCATATTTCAGGTTTAAATAATAGCGATTCTATACAGTGATTCATATTTACATAGAAAAGCAAGTTACTGCCAAAGCCCCATCATCTAAATATTTTCTGTCACAAGGCATATTTTCTGCAGCTTAAAGCCGAAATTAGACAACTTCAGCCACCTGATTTTTAGACAGCAATTGAAAAGTTTTTAAGTATATACACCTTAGACTCCAGCTTGTTATCACTTTATTATTAAGTTATTTTCGTTCCTGAACTTAAAGGAAGATTAGACAATGTTACTGAATAGAGCGTTTAAGTTCAGTGTGAGGGTCCGCAGCTGCTTAAAATTTAAGGGAAGTTAATTTTACGGTATTAATTTACTAAGTAGCTCTTTGAGTAGGTCTACATTATCCCGAATGAAATTTTTAAACTATGAGTCATTATTCTTGAGTTTGTGGCAAATGACCAATATGTTAGATGTTTAAACATCGGGCTTTTAACTATATCTGGCGAAATTCTCTTTTCAGTCAATTGTATGCCAGTTCTGCTTCTAGGAGCTGACATACCTTTCTGACTAATATCGTCAGATTATTTCTGGCTACTGCTCAAGTTGTTCAGTACTCAAGAAACTCGTTCTGCGGCTTTCCGCTTGTTACTTATTCGTCTTTGACTCATTTGGAGGATTCGACACTTGCTTATCCCTCATCTCTATGTTTACACATGGCAATCGCGCTTCGATTGATTTACTGTCGTTGCTGACTTCCTGCTTGTTTGTATCAACAAAATCCTTCTTCTAACTGTGACTTATAAATACATCTACAGTTGGCATTGCTGCTGAGTAGACTATGATTGTTTAAACGGCACTGCTTAACAGTTATGTGAACCTCGGTCAGGTGTACAATTTATTTTACAGGTATAAAGTTTGTTCAAACATCGTGAATCCAACCTTTGGATTCATCACATGCCGTTCCTCGCTGGTTAGCGACAATCCACGTCAACGGTTTATTTTTGGAAACTTCAAGAAGTTCTCAGATAATATCTCAAAAACTTGTTACACAATGGTGCGATATTAACCAAAAATTTATCTTACCCATTAAAGGAGTACGAGTGCCCCCAAATGCCCTGGTACGGCCGAAAGTGGGGGGAACCCGCTCTCCCTCTCGAAATGCTCTCACATGGCCACGCGTATAAAGCCTCTGCCAGGGAAGTCCTACTCACTGCCTTCACGTGGCCGGGGTGTTGTTTACACAAATAAGAGGATGAAAAACGAATGTCCGGCGCATTAACTGGATTCCAAACCAATGGTGCGCATGGGCTCCAGTATCCTGAAGGGACAAATGGGGTATGAACCAATTTTTGGTCACCGGCTTCCATGGGACTGTATCTCCTTACGACGCTTCACTGCCTTGTGGATCAGACCTTCAGGTCGAAGTCTCGGGGTGTGGCCTCCTAAGAAAACCACCTGCTTCAGTTTGGGCACCCGGGCAGTATCACAGCCCTCACACATATCGAATAAGATGTGTGGCGTATATGTATTTGGTGCCTCCTTGTACCAATATCTGTGTTAAAATAAAATAAAAAGGAGTACAAGTATAAACTATTTCAAATACTCTCCTTGATACCCTTATTTCATCTAAATAAAGCGAAACAGTAGTTTCGATGTTAAATTTATCATAAGTAAGAATTTTACTTAACGAGAATAAATGCAATTGATTTTTAGATAGTCCACACTTTATTGATGCGATATAGCTAAAATGTATCATAACTCATGAACTTTGCTTCTTATTTAAGTGCTGTGATGGCGGTTGCACCGGATTTTTGTTTTAAAGCAGACTTACTACAAACTTTTGTCGTGATCTGTGGTTTATGGACTAATCCATTTTATGGCATCTGGTTACAATTCAATAAACTTGCCTTGTTTAATCACTAGATTTCACCCATACTATTACTTAAATTTTCTAGCTTCAGCTTGTAACAAGTGATTGTGTTGCCTTTAATCTATATTTTTACCTATCTTTTCCAGCACTGTGGCTTCAATGGATCGATGATGAGCTTAAAAATGCTTCTACACTTGAAGAAAAGCGACGAGTGGAAATTCTTTTTAAACGTGCGATTGATGATTATGAAGGTCAGAAGCTGGGTGTACCTTTCATACTTTTGATATTACTCCTGCCTTTCTAATCATGTTCTGATTCTTTCAGTATTGCTTCAACGTTGGTGAACGTTTAAAGTGAAGACTTTTGAGGTTTATAAATTATAGCATCTAAAGTAAAAAGAAGAAACTGTGGTATCGCACCGAAACGGAAGTTAATAGTTAAATGACGTTTATCGATTTGTCAGATTTACAAGTGGATACAACTGATGTGAAGCACTTTTAGAATAATTACAATTGATTTTGCAAACCTTTCTAAAACTGCTAATGTGCATTAGTTTGACTTGTAGCAGTAAGCTTCAAATGAACAACTAATCTGACTATATTTTGAGTGTGAACATGGTACTTGTCAAGGTATTTTTTCGAGTGTATTCATAATGTATGAAGTTTACGAAAGTATTCTGTTCTATGGCAGTAGATATCTGTTAGTGTGCTCAGTGATTACTCATTTTTGACTGAAGGTTAAAGTCCAAGACCATCACTTTATTGTGTTAGTGGGAACTCCTCGCACTCAAAATCGAATTTTTGTAGTGTATAATGTCTTCAGTTTAGTTTATTTCATGACTAAGACAACAGAACCCTGAATTGGATTTTTACTGCAACTTCTGTCGGTCTCCGAATTCGAACTTCAAAGGGATAGCAACATTCACCTGTCCAAGTTATCTAAATTCTTTATATTGTATTGTAAAAAAACGTAATAGTAAAATGAAGCATATGTGCAAACAGATAATAAATGACGATCATTTATAAAAAGATAGAAATCGGTATCTATTTGTGTTGATATGATTTATTATAAACCATATGCTCTAGCGAATTCCGCAACTAGTTTTGATTTTTGGACTGCCACAGTTTCGAAATTCTCTTTATTAATTAAACCAATCACTGGCTACTTTTAAGATTCCTATTACTTCTCGATGTAGTCACTTTTAATCCTTACTACCCGAATATATAATCAGTGTAATTACATGCAGTATCGAGAAATCTACAAGCTAACAAAAACTATCTTTAAGTTCTTAAGTACCCACGATAGAAAATTACAAGGAAAATCTCAATAAAAATTATTGTCACTAGGGTGATCTAAAGTTTTTCAACTTGTTCTTTTCTTTTTAGTTTTGCAAGGGGTTGCTGACTTCCAATATTCCTGTTGCGCCATGCTCACTAAAAGCAAGTGCTTGGAGAGAGTAAAATAACCTGTTCACTCAAATGAAATGCTAGTATTCCAGCGAACCTCAACCTAATAAATATTTTAGCTTATATATAGTCAGATGTTCCATCATGTTTTTGTAGGGAATCTAATTCAAAAAAATAGTATGGGAAGTATATAACTTCACTGTAAATAACAATAAAAAATTTAATTTCGTTTTCTTATAGATATCAATGTATGGTTGGAATACTGTCACTTCGCAATCTCTACTTCGGATTTTAGTTCTGCGGATAGTATAAAGCAAGCGGAAGTCATTTTTGAATCTGCTTTGTCACATCAAGGACTTAATGTTGTTGGGGGTTCGATGCTATGGGAGATCTATCGTGAATATCTCACTGTAGTGTGGTCTCAGCTACCACAAGATCATAAGGTTAGGAATATCTGTTTGCTTCATGAAAAATGTAACAGTTTATTTTTCTTATCACCTTTTGACCTTTGAGTATTTCACACTGTGGCACATCTTTATTATTCACGAGTCCTCCTCATATGTTCAAATAACCTATTATTTTGTCTATAACTTCCATGTAATCTGATGTATAGTTCTCTCTTCTCAACATAATTGTTGAACGTGATCAACCTAAAGCCATTTACTGTTTATTAAGCAGGAATCATTAAAATTGAAGCAATTTCAGTGCTTACATACTTCTTAGGTTATCTTGCAATATAGTCTAAGAACATAATTTGTTTATGATCTAATATTTCCTTGTTAGGCTGCCTAGTGTATTTGTAAATTAATTCTTTGTCAGTGTGTAAAAATAATGCGTCACAAAATAATTAAGTTAAATAGAATTTTAGAAAACCCGTAAAAATTTATCGTCGTATAAATCATAAGCGCTGCTGTCAAGAGTAATGCAAATTTTTAACTGCTACCCGTTGATTTTACATTTATTAAGGCTTATTTTCCGATTAGATGTTTGTGTGCTTTGTTCTAACCCACTTTTTGTGTAATGAGTATTGGTACTTTCCTGCTACTGATAGCCGTTTACCGAGTACCGATTTGCATATCAGTAAAGTAGTCCGTACGTTTGTCAACTTCAATCTGCTGGACGAAAGTACTAGTGAATGGGAATCAGCCAGTCACAGTTCCCCTTACTCCTCATCTTTATCTAATAGAATAGTACAGCATTAAAACTAACTGTTAGGTTTTAAATCAAATGGTTGAGTGCGTTTGTGATTGTTAAAATTGACATTAGAGTAACAATGTATTAATCCTTCATTCTGTAGATTTCCATAATAAACCTTTGGTTGGTCATTCCAAACAAAACTGACGATATTACTACTTTGGTTTGAGCGACTGCGTACTATAATTAGCTTTCATACTGAAGTATCTAGTGAATTAGTCAATTTAATTAAAAATATGATTCGCAATTGGTTTTCTATATTTGGAGTGGGAAACAATTTATTATTTGTTTTGTTTAATTAGGAAATGAAACTAGAACAACTGAATAAAATGGACCGTCTATTTCAGCGTCAACTCAGCATTCCACATTTGAGTAAGCTATTTCTGAACGAATCTTTCAATCACCTTTACATTTCTCCCAATTGTGATTTTGAATCCAGGACCTTTGGTCTATCGCGCGAAAGCTTAACCCATAAACCACTGAGCCGGCATCCGATAGTGTTAATGTTTAACTTCAACCAATCCGCGATGTCGCACGACCATCTTCAATTGTCTTCGGTGGGTAACTGCCCCATGCCTGACACGGTTGAACATTGATCGGCTTCTGAATTTAATGAAATTCAGCATTCTCCACAATCCAAAACTAAAAATCTAAACAACTATTGCGGCCATCTTGTTGTACCTAACTAATCCTATCAATAAGTACTGTTAATTAATAAACAAAATACACCATTATCCGTTTCTCCGCTTGTCCATTATGCTGCAAACATGAGCATTTGGTTCCTCGTAACAATAGGTTAGGAGCTAATTGTTCAACGATTTCGATAACCTTTAAACTGCAACTCAGGTTTCACAGTCGAACTGCTTTCGAAATTCCACTTTGATGAAGATTGAACTAGTATTTCTGTTTATTTTCCAGTGTATACTCTACTGCAGATCTGGATACTTATTTAAATATTCAGCAACATCATTGAAACTATTTCGAATTGAACAGCCAGTTGTTGAATGCATTCTGTTACACATACCAGAAAAATAGTCGAACTCTACCGGTGTAAGACAAGGCCTATATTCATGAAGTTATTGTTTACTCTTGGGATCCCTATGGGAGGAAAAGTGTGCATCATTTGGTGATCAGGTTTTATAACATATCACACTAGACAGAAAGTCTAATATTTTTAGCCACCTGAACACAATAAAATAACGTACATTCTTGCTCTATAAGTTCTGTTTTTATTGTTCCCCAATTAACTTTTTCACCTTTGATAGGATTTTATTTTCCCATTCATTATAGATATGGAGGAGACATTAACTGAATATAAAAGTTTCCTGTCTGATATTGGTGTAGAACTATATCAACCAAGGGAAAATTCAGATTCCTTTGTACCACAAGAAATCAAAACGGAATATGAGAAAGCTTTAGAGCGTTTGGCTGTTATTTTACCATTTGAGGAATCCATAGAAGTAAGTGGGGTAAATGAGTTACTTTGTCAAGGCCTGTTAAGAGAACTGTTTATAAACCTTAAATGCATGTGTAAGCTATGCGAAGATTCTCCACATAATACTTTATTGGCGAAATATTTCTTGTTTTATCCCATCAGGGTGCTCACTAACCAGTAAGTGGCAAGAATGTTTCTAGGCCATCGGTAGTAGTGTGCAGATTTGGTGCTATATTGTAGATTTACGCCTATACATTTCTGATATGTTTTGTGCTATAAACTATAAGAGTGGCCCATTTCTTTACCGTTTACACTCATGTTATAATCACAAATTTTTAAAGCAAAATTTCGTTGGAAGACGATAAGATGAAGTTGATCAAATAGTGGACATTGAAAGTACTTAATGTTATCAGGCTGCAACCTTGAACGTCCTTATGACCTTATTGATAAAAGTAGTCATCATATGTCATGGTTAACATAGAGCCTGTGACAAGTGTAATTTAACCGATATTATCACTCTTCATATTAGGATAGGGAAAGAATATTAACAAGCTTAAAATCAAATGAGCTGGGATATTAGTACTAATGTTAGTTTAAAAAAACATGAGAATTAATTTTAGTGATTATGGAGGAATCAATGCATTTGTGCCACTATGATCGATTTAATAACATAAAAAGAAGGAGAAGTAAATTAATTAAGAAAAGTGACGTTTATTCATGAGAATTGAGCACAATTGTTAGAAACATCTAACCTACCTATCTACTCTATACAACGTCTGACATTACAGCTTTAATCTTCAACTGAGAAAAGTTCAAAATGAGCTCAATGTATTAGACGAATAAAACGAGGTAAAATTATACAATCCGGGAACAGATCAATGTTGGCCCATAAAATTAGATTTGAAAAAATATAAAGATTGTTCTTAGGATGTTTAATTCAAGCTCTAAGGTCACAGGTCTAAATCTCGCTCGACCTACTTCCATTTAAGAAACCAGTGAATTTAAACCAAGTACACAAATGTATTCCATTAATTTCGAGTCATAAGACCTCAAATTTCTAACTGCTGCTACTATCTCTCTCTTCACCCTGACCAAAGCGCTTGCTGTTCCATAACACTCGTCCGAATTAATGAATCAGAACATGTCTACTTATTCAATCAATCAACAGTTTAGAGTTGAGTGGATTTGTTATATTATTCTCATGTTTTAAACGATAGAGTTGACGTAGAGGTTGCGTGCATTAAAATATTCATTGTTGTTGCTATTTTTGGTGGTAATGTCTTTTCAAGGTATTCTCATATATTAGAAGTGATTTTTTACTACGCTTATTTTATTTAAGGAATCTACTGACAAGTCAGAAGCGGAATCTGTTTCCAGTTGGAATACGTATATTGATTGGGCGGTTCATTGTGCAAAACGAAAAAAGCCTAAAACATCTAAAAATACTGATAGTAAGAATAATGAGAACACTTCTAACAATTTTGTTGTATCACCTAATGAGTTATGCTGTCTTTTTGAGCGTGCTATTACAGCACATTGTTTAGATACATCTTTTTGGATACGTTATGCAGACTATGTGGTAAGTTGTTTATTATTTCAAATGAATATCAGCAGTATTTATTTTTTTACAGTTTAGTGTTTCACCAGTACAACCTTCTAGTAATAATCAAAATAATGTTGTATACAAACTTGAAACAAGTAACTAGAAAAACAATAAGTTGGAACTATCATATTCAGTATATCTTGAACTACCATTCGATCTGTATATCGTATATTGCTTTTAATTAATTGAATGAGAATGAGTGGTTCGATTGTTAGTGGTTTCTGTTTACTTGAAAACGAATAGTTGATCGAGTGAAAAACAAAACGTTTCTACATTGTCTTTCTTGTTTTGTGTGGATACTCGGGTTTTTGAATACGTTTATCCTTTTATATGTCATGATTGTTTGTTGTTATTTACCAGACAATCGTAACCCAATTGAATTGGATCATTCAGTAGACATTAATGACCATTAAACCTGAATATACGCTATCATGGAATATTCTTTATCTCAGGAATAATTATCATGGGAAATATACATTGAAATGTTGTCTTATTTTAAAGGAAAAATACTCATATGTTTATAAGGTAATTCGGCATCAGTTCGGTTTAGCGAACATTTAAAGTGTAGTTATATCGTGAATTAGATCACTCTTTTTATAGCAGCTTATTTTAAATATTAACAGAACATTGTATTCTTTGTAGTGAATTGTTTATTCTCTTCCTCTGTGGCATTATTACTCAAACCGAAATCAGTGAGGCGGGTTTCAGACCTGTGATCTGTTAATTTAAAGTGGAGTATTTTTATCATTAAGACATCGATTTACGTATTCGTCGGTCATAACTTGGAAATCAACGAACAATCGTTGTACCGTTTGATACTGTACGAAACATTAGTACCGTCTCTCGTTGAGTATGAGATTGGAATTCTTGTTCGGAGTCACATTATAAAAATAGGAATTTATCTGTTCTAGTTTTAGTGTGGCTTAAATGAACTCCGAAATACAAAAAAAACTTGTACTAAGTTGATTAGTGGGAACAGTTTAAATTATAACTGATAATTGTAGTAAGAATGTCAAATTCAGTAAAAATTCATGTATTATTTTTTTAAATAAAACTAGTATAGCTAAAAATAAAGGAAGTGAATTCGTCGAAGTTGTAAAAAGGATTTTACAGGGTGCAGATACATGAATATCGTGGTTTTTATTTACTATGAAAAAGACTGTATATTTATCGCTTGTCGTCTGAAGATTCTGAACAGGTTAACTAATAGCGGTTACTGGTTGTACAGTTTTACTTATTCTTCTGTTCATTCAAAAATTTCAGTAAATTGTTCACTGCAAATACCTGTCATCAACTGTAAGTTTGTTAATAATTAAAAAACGATGGACATGTTTCATTTAAATTTCGGACTTCTCATGCACCCACAACCTCACTTTGGCTCTAGACCTCAACCTTCAGGTTTTGTGGCAATTGCGGTATCTTAAGTTAACAGCCATAATCCCGTGACCCACTTGTCATGGTGTTTAAAAATCGTTTGCTGATTTCATCGGTGAATCATCCGCAAATCCAGTCAAATTAGGTTAAATTTACTTCATAAGTCAGCCGCTCACGGGTAATCTTTGCGAATTAAAGTTTGGAATGACGCATATTGTTACATATTCTTTTCGAGCTTTTTCTAAGAATTCTGCTATCTTTAGCCCCTAGACAACAGAAATCTCGTAATTGCCAAAAAACTTGGATATGAATGTTGTAGGCTCCGTGATTTCAGTCACTTGTGTTTTTCAGGAGTCGACCTTCTACCAGAAGATTCGCTTGTGGACTTAGGATATGAAAATGATATAGCTCTGCTAGATAAAAATACTGACAAAATACAGTCTTTTAACTTCTTTTCGTAATAAAATAATGGTTTGCAGAATGCGATTCTCTCCCTCTAAGTACAGGCTTGTTTCAGAACTGATGATAGCGAGTGAAGTAGTTGAGCACGTCAACCACTTTACTTTCTGTGCGTCTTATTAGACCCAGTTGGTTAGTGTCTGACATCTCACCGTGGATTCAGAAAACTCGGTTAAGTTTCGTCAACCTGAGCTGCTTGAAGTGTCGATGAGATGTCAACCAAGAGATAAGTTCACTAAGTAGTAGTATGCTTTGTTTTACTTTATGACTGAAACAGTTTTCAAAATACAGTATATTAATAGGCTACTAGTTCTTGATCATAGGTGTTTTCAAAACATTGTTCATGTATGCTGCGATCACTTATTGAGCAATGTTGAAGTTAGGTGCAGGGTATTAGATGAAAATGGCAAATCAGTTAATGAGGTATTGAAACTTAAACAGCTACGATGGTTGAGATATTTGGTACGTATGTTGAACTACCGTCTAACTCGACGGGCGCTTTTGTTTGGTGTAGGAGTGAACTGGAAGAAAGCTATTGGCAACCAAATCAAGACATGGAATCAGTCCATCAGATTACTGATCACTGAAATTCACCAGTAGGTCGGTAGGTCCAGGCTAAACTACCTGGGGTGTGCTTCATTACCAATAGTTAGAGACTTTGGGTGACACGACATTGTTTGAAGTGGCACAGGTGCACTCATTTTTTGTCTTCACTAGATCCTGCTTTTTAAAATTATTTTACCTTTTTTCGCATTCCACTGGTCCATATTTTCCCCTCGAATCATATTTTCTATACCTAATCTTTTCTGCTACAATTGATACTGTTACTAATTCTACTACTCTGGAAATTTAAACGAACATTAACTTATATTTACAGCTCCGTACAGTCAGTCCTCTTGAAAAGCTTTTGTAGCGTAAAGAAACCTCTGTTTTGGGATAGAGTGAACCCATTTTATTTCCTCTACTATTATTCTACGAATACTCAATAGTTTTATAAATTCGATCTTATGTGAGACGCCTATTACGTAATTCAGTTTGCTAGTAAATAAAGATCATGATTACTTTCAACAACATCTGATACACTTTCGACGTAATTATGCTCTTATATTTCCAGGAATCTCAGCTAGAAACGGATGTTCTGCGTTTGCAAAAGTTATTGTCTCGATCAGTTCGTAATTGTCCTTGGTGTGTCGAGTTATGGCAGCGTTATGCATTAGTCACTGAAGCTGTGATTCTTGAAAATATTTCATTCAAATCAAATACCAATGGAACACAACAGGAATCTGTTTCCAATGAGTCTGATCTATTTAAAGAGGTTGATGGTATGCTACTTTAAAAAATTGTTTTGTAGTTATTTTAGTCATATTACAGTTATGTATAACGCCTAATGATGATATATAGGTTAATATATGGGAATTAGTGATATACACTAAGTATTGTCTGAAGTCTTAGCGATGTTAATTGTCACTGGTAACTAAATTAAGCTGATTGATTGTAAAATTCCGAATATCACAATCGACTGTCGACTATGCAGTAAGGTTCAAGAAGAAAAAAGATCAGTATTTTTTTTACCTTATAAATTTCTTATGTGTTTTTGTAAGTAATTCACTGTTCACTTATACTGTCCATTGTCTTTTGACATACTTTTCTATGTAAGTCGAAGTAAACAAACAATTTCACACCTCGTATGTAATTGATTTCGATTAAGTTGGTTTCTTTGAACTTAATCACTTGATTTCAAAGCCTTTGTTATCATACATTCAAGATAGAATCTACTCTTTAAACTTAATTAATAATGCTGATTGAGTTTGTTTTGGTTATGATGACTATAATAAAATATCTTCAATAGTTTTATTATTCCATTGAATTTATGTGATTAGCCACTAATTTACATATTTTAAATCGTTCAAAATCCATTTAACTGAATAAGGTAATTGTAAACATGAAAAGTTAAATTTTTAAATATTTTCACTGGTGATTATGTTGATGATTATCAAAAATAAGAAAATTTCAATTCGCATACTAATTTTCATCACGAACAAATATCAATTGATATCTTCTAGTTAATATTGCCCTGGTACGACCGCGGGTGGAGAAAGTCAGCTCCCCCTCCTCGAAATGCTCTTACACGGCCACGTGTATACAGCCACTTCCAGGGAATGTTCTACTTACTACCTTCTCGCGGTAGAGATTTTGTTTACGAAAGCAAGAGGACGAAAAGCGAAAACCCGGCGCTTTAACTGGGTTGATGAATATAGACGACCCACCTAGGGGAGTTGGAAAACCCTTATTCCAAACCAATAGTGAACGTGGGCTCCAGGATCCTGGGGGAACGAATGGCGTATGAACTTGCTGTTGGTCACCGACTACCATGAAACTGCGTCTCCACTACCTTTTGGATTAGACCTTTAGGTCAAAGGCTCTGGGTGTGGCCTTCGAAGAAAACCAGCTGCTTCGGTTTGAGCGCCTGGGCAATATTCCGGCCCTCATCCAAATTAAATGACAAAGTGTGACGCATATGTATTTGGTGCCTCCTTGTGCCAGTGTTTATGTGCTTAAATAAATAAGTAAATAAACATCAAATACATCTTTTGTACGTGTTTGTTTACCTTTTCTTTGTTATGAATCCATTACAGGTATATATGAAACAGCTCTAGCAGCTGGTTTCACTAATCCAGATGATGTATTGAAAATTTGGCGTAGTTATTGTGATCATCATTTGCGTAGACTTCTTTTATTAGATAAGAGTTCTTTATCTTGGGGTAAGTTCTAGAACTAATCTCATTCATTTTCTTATTATTCTACCTCATTATATTGGATTTTAATTTTGGTGTCTATTTACATATAACTATGTTATAATTGCCTGGAGGTAACTGACACTGAACCTAGGTTTTGCGGATGGTTGGCACGATTTAACAAGACGAATTGAGAAGATTCAAGGAACTGACGTTAGATCCCTTACCTCAGAGATTTTTGAACTGCAAGCAATGTAGAAATAATCAAGTCCTACCGATTTGCACTGAGGGCTGAATATTATGACTGGTTACTACGAAGTGATTAGTTAATGTATAGATATTGATTGCTTACAATCTTGAGTTTATGTAATTCGTAAAGCAGTTGGTTCAATATTGACCATCAATGAAGCCGCTTTAATTTTGTTCTGACTTCAGTATTTGGAAACTTATTCAGATACTTCTGATTATGAGACACTGTTAATTGACCTTAATATTAAAACACTGCTTACATATAAGTTAGATAAGCTTCATTATATAATTTAAATGTTGGTTAAATAGATATTATGAAATCTGTCACAATATTCACACTTTCACGGAGAACTTATAATGAAACAATAATATTTAAAATACCAGGGTATAATAAAGCAAGGACGGTGGATAAAAAGGAAAAAAACCTGAAATGTCGTTTTTACTCAACGTTAATTCACCTATGACTAGTCATTCTCAACACAACACAGCAATCTGTAACTAACCATAATTAACTCATATCTCAACCACCAATAGGATATTCTTAATGAATTTCTTTTTACTATGACATAAACTGAAATATTCTTTCTTTATAACCTTTTTCTTCTATTTTTAGAATATCGACTGTCATTACTTCGAGCAACATTTGGTCGAGCTATAGAATATTGTTTTGAATGTAAGTTCATTCTGAAAATGACTATAAACATGCATTTAATGATTTAATACTATAATAACAATTTGCATATTTGAAAGCTCCAATCACAGGGAAAAATAATATCCATATAATTAAATATTCTATATATCTACTATTCAAAATGAATTCAATATGTTGTGAACAGCTATGATGTATGTAATCAGTCAGTGTCGGAAAATGCCGTATTGGGGGAAAACTTAATCCGAATCAATAAAAAAAACAGGACATGAAAATATGAAACTAGTTCCTTAAGACTTCCGAATTTCATAGTTAATCCGCAAAAACATCTCAAACTGCACTATAATTACCGTGTTTTCTTTCACTGTTATTATCAGTTTTTACAGCTGAGAAATTTCAGTGTCCATGATGTGGAATTTCTCAAATACAACTTGTGAGTACGGCAACCAATGTTGATTTAAGATGATTGTAAGGTCAACTTTCAACACATTTTCGTTACATTACTTTATGAACTTTCAGTGGATTTTCACTGTGATTTGTGTTTAGTGATAAACACCCAGTTCATTAATTCTAGTCATTGTGACAGTCATCACTTACAAAACTATGATTCAGAAACCGAGCTTCACTCTCTCTAGTCAGTGTGGCGCAAGGAAGAACAGAAAAGTAGTTTTGTTCACTATATTCAAATCTGGATTGCGAATATATTAGTTTAATATATCGATTACCTCCCAAACCGGTTGGTTAAAAAGTGATGAAAGATATTACTAGTTTGTATTCTTGATTGTTGACCTATTGAATCAGTGTGTAGAACTGAATAGCAGCATTATCCTACAGAACACCAAAGTCTAGATTAGGATGATTATTGTACGATGACGTTGTTTAGAAGCACTAACTACTATTCAGTTGCTGAGTATTATGATGACCAATATAATACATCAATGATATCACTTTTGTAAAGCAAACTTAATTATTTAATGCCAGCAATCACGAGATCTGTGTTCAACTCCTTTCAGTTTCATTCAATGTAACATACACAGTGATTACTATACCGCATGGAGTTTTTTTTAACTTTAGCAGTTATATTGCAAACGTAATCTCTCTATATACTTATAGTTTTTTTCTCGCAAACAGACTTCAAACTGAAGCGACATTCAAGACCAAGAAGCATCAGATTACTTTTTTTATCCCAGCATGGGAATTTTCAGCAGTACGCTTACATAACTCCTCCAGAGGTTGGGCCTAGGGTCTCCAAGCCTCCAGCTGCGAAATTCATATCTCAATAATTTCGTTTGGATTGAGCATAATAAATATTACTACATTAGTTATTGTTTCCTGATTAATTTATATCTTCAGTTTCACATACTTGAGGTATTTTCAATAATGTTATATTTTTCATTTATAGTATTGCACTCTCAATCAAATGTTGATTGGTCACTTTTAAATTATTATGCATTTGTTGAAGTGAGTTTCTTTTACATTCTGAATGAACTATGTACTTCTTATTTCTACATGATCTTGTGGGAAGAAAGCAAATTAGATAGAATTCCTTCAGATTTCTACCTCAATTTTTAGTAGTCGAGATCGTAGTAATACTCTACTAATAAGGTTATGGATTATACATTTCTCACTTAATGAGTTTTAAAATGTGAATTTAGGTTAGAACATTCATCGAGAATCTGATGTTTAAAATTCTTCCTTTATTTAAAGTTAGTGCATCGGCAAGTCTTTAAAATGCCTAAAGTATTTGATAGATGATAAAAACTGTAGATGATTGTACTTCAGTATCGTGGTTGAATACTAGAACTAGATCAAATCAGTGTGTTTAAATCTCATGATACCAACTGTCATTCGTAAGAAATTAAAATAACCGAATATCAAGCCAGTGAAGATACAGTAACAAATACAAGCTGCAGTACACTGTTAAGGATTCATAAAGATAAATGGCGATTCATTAGTTTTAAGTGTAAAATGGGATGATAATAAACCAAGAAATAAGACTTTCAAGTTAAAAAGTACTCATACAAAAATTCAGGTTAATTAATGAGTTAACAGAGTGTATTTAACACTATGAACAATCCAAGAGAATTCGATGTCTCATCGTTTTCACTGTGTATCTGAATACGTTTTCGTGAATTCATCCATTGTAGTTGGGTGCAAATAACTTTTGAGTTCTAAGCAGTCCTCACAGTAGTTGTTCTATTTTTTGATAGTTAGAGAGTTGTTAACTATTATTTTAATGATTCCTGCTTTATGGGAACATCAATGCTTTTGTGCACTTCAATCGATCCACAACATTGTGCCACCATCTTTAGTGAGTAATTGCATCGCCCGATACGGTTTAGCCCCACTATCCACAAATGCTTACTAGAACTCTGAAGGTTGTGAATGTTCAGTACAAGATAATTTTCGGTATCGGGTTGAGGAGATGGTTATATATACCATAGTAACCAATAGAAATAGGTGTGAATTACGTTAGATCACTATAGTACGCAGATTATAACACTGTAAAGGTGTGAAAAATTGTAATAAAGACTTATTGTAACTACATCAACAGTTTATGGTAATACTGATTCAGATTAATAATGACAGTTTTTAGTGACCCTGTATCTAACTCAAATGAAGTTGTGTGCTGATTGTTATCAAAATATACATGCCACCAATTTTCGTATAATTTTATTGACTTAATTCACGTTAGAGAACAATGGGATAAAATAAGCCAAATGCGAGAATGAACTGTGAATATGTATATTTCATACAGTATTTGATTCAGACAGACAATCAGGGAAACGAAATGAAGGGAGCGAAATGAAAGGAAATGGTGCGTAGCGGAGATGGCGAGTGAGCCAACTTGTTTTGTTCAGGCGTGACTCGGTATTTTTCGTCAGACCACAAATCAGTCATGGATACGTAATGAATAAGGCAAGCAATCAACTTACATACGAGCATATAAAAACAATCGGGGTTAATAAGCGAACAAGTGGCAGGGTCAAAATATGGCTTGAGAAGAGTGATTAAATTGGTCTGTCCAGAAGCTAGAGTAACTTATATGGACTTGACATAGTACCAACCGCCACAAGTTTTTTAAATCAGTGATCGTACTAAGCTACGAAAATTGGGACCTCAACCTGTTAAATCTCTTTATGTCCATAGAATTTTCCACAGACTTACATCAACTACTAACTATTGTGAACAAGACAAAAGCAGTAATTCATTGCAGCAAAACAGTAACAAGAAGTTGATTATAACGTGACTGCATACTAAAACAGACAGTAGTTGAGATCAGATCACTCGGTTTCTAAGCTTGTGCATGCTAATCTCTCCATTTATTAATTGAATCACATTTGAAAATTTTTATTACTCATTAAGAACATTGTACAGAATGTGTGTTAAAAATTTCATATTTCAGGTTTTCAGTTTAAATGTTGAGCATGTTGCACTTGTTTCTTTTTCATTTTTCAGGCAAAGTATGTGGAAGATAAAGAGCGTGCTCGTTCTCTTTGGACAAGTTTAATAAAGTTACCTGGACATGGGAGTCGAGCTGAATACTGGATACCTTATATTCAATTTGAACAGTTAGTAGTTAGACATTTTATCTATATGTTGTTTAGTTTTATGGAATGCTGCTTTTATTTATATTCTGAACTGACTGAAAATCAATTTAATATTTTTCTCTTCATGTGATTAGTGATTCTTATTTACTAGGCAAGTAATAAGCCGTTGGTTGTACTTCAAACATTTTGGTATGAAGGCTAATAATATCACTCAAATCTCGATAGATTTGGCGAGGTTCGAATTCCAAATTCATTGTCTGAGAAGATATATTCATTAAATCTTCTACTGTATTTGTGTTTTAAGAGATATTCACCACCTTTACCTGAACAGGACATTTGATTACTAATCCTTTAAGTCATTGATTTTCGTTTTTTATCGAAATCAAGGAAATTTCACCCTACGTACAGCGTTACTTACAGCATTTGAAAAGATATAATTACTCTCAAAAAAGGATTTCTGTAACTCAGCGTAGTTCGTGTATGTAAGTATATGCAAAGGGTAATCGTGTGGTGTTGTACAATGAAGAAGTTAGCTGAAGTAGTGTTTGACTTATGTCTAAAAAATCAGCAACCTAATTTGTCAGGTCGAAGACATAATAAAAAAGATATTGTAGCAAACACTAGGAAGACGTGATCAGTAACCTCCCCTGAGAGAGTGGTTATGCTTATGTGTGTATCTTGAAGTACTGGGGCGGTAGCCATAGGTTCAATGATATGCATGTGATGTGTGATAGACAATCTATTGTAGCAAATACATTTCAAAAGGAGAAGTGAACGTCTACCCTCCAAAGTCGGTGAATATACCTATATGTATGCTTTGGGATGCACGGGATTAAACCCATGCGTTACCGGTATGTATGTAATGTATATTTGCTGACGGGGAGGTATGCCTGTATGTATACCAAGTGATACACGGACGAAAGTCCTTGTGTCACCTAGTATGCATGTAGACTGTGCCTATCCGGGGTAAGTAAAAGCCTCAAATAATCTTTTATTTACTCTCCTTGGTGCTACTCCCACACGGCAAGACCTGCAGGGCAATGGTTTCCCATAAAATCACATCTACGTGGTGGGTTTGTGGGCCTTGAAAACATGAGATCCATTCCAGAAGGGCCACTGAGCTTCACCAAAAAAGACTACCAACCAATCTGGCTGGAACACCGTACCACTGAGCTATACGTGCAGCGATTGATCTCCTGTAGGCAGATGTATTTATAATTGATTGATCACTGGATAGCGACCTGTGTCAAGTTCTTCTTAGTGCTGATCGCTTTCTTATGCCCGGCAATGTGATATGACCGTTTTTCAATAAAAAAAGATGTTTGTTTATCTTTTTCCTTCTTGATTGCACCATTAACTTTGTAGGACTTGGGGTGATATGAAAAATTTACTTCGGATATGTGCTATGGCTATTAATTCAATTAATTTTGACCAATCAGAATTAGTATTTCAAGTGGTTTTACGTGCAGTTGGTGAAACTGGGGTACCTGTTAAACAATATAGAGATATTATTACAAAAATACATGCACGTCGAGCTTCTTTAATGGAGTCTGTTAAAGATGTTCAGTCGACAAAATCAGATACTGAGGTAACTGTCCTAATTCCAAGTGAATTATATGTTCTGAATATGCATTATTTTCTTCATTTACCTATCACTTTAATCCAGGAATAAATATGGAGGTGGAAATATTTCAGACAGTTATCTATCTTTGTGCTTGAACTCATGTTTATTTCTACACTTATGGACATTTTTCTACGACGTCTAATTTGTCTACGTGGTTCTCAGTACCTTAAGACGCTACGGAGTAAAGTTTATTTTTCGATTTGTCTAATTCACCATGTTGCATGGTGTTCACCTGGTATTTGTCGGACAGTTGGAATATGCGCTCCTCAACGAGTTGTCAAATGACTTGAATTTATTTCTTCATAAAGAGAATTTTCAAGCCAATGAATAAAAACTGCAAATAATAATCCATTTAAATAGTTTTGTATGAATAGTCCATTTAAATTGTTTTTGTATGTCTTGACCAGGGCTTATTAACCAATATTATGTTATTACCTCATACAAGTTCAGTGATAGAGAATGATTAGTATTCTTTTCTATTTTTCATCTCGTAGATACCAGTTAAATTAATGGAAACCAATTTATCTGGTTCAAGAAAACGAAAACTACCTGATCATCCAAATGATGCTGCCACGTTAAAATCAGCCAAAGTTAGTTTACTGGTTTGTGTTTTACAATTTTCCACTATGTTTCTGTAATTTTGTAATCGTATAAAGCAAATTACGACATATTTCTCTTTCATAAGAATAATAGTAATTGTCAATGTACTCGTGTAGCGATTCAACATAGGTTGCTCTGCATTTAGATTTTTTTCCTAGAACCGAAGAAATTTTATAATAGAAAACTTCAGATCAGTTTCATAGTTATTTTGATGTTTCTGAAGTTTTAATTATGGGATTCATGTCCATTTGCTGTAATCATTTTTTGTACTCTTGGTGTGACAACTTTAGTACGAACTCCTGTATACACCTTGGTAATAGGTAGATAATTTGAAGTGTTTTTTAACTGATTGGTATTTGCACGTTCTGTAAGAAAATTAGCGATGTTATCGTTGTTTAGAATGGGCGACTATAGACTGTTCCCTTCAAAACCAGTGGAGCAATCGAAAAAAACGAAAAAATCAATTTAGCCATTGGTGAATCACTACAGTTTTTCAACACCGTGCAACTTACCGAATGTAAAATTTCTGCCTTCGTCAGTTATAATTAGGATTAGAAAAAATGTAACCGCCGGAATAAAATGTATAGGATTTACTTGCATAATTTGTAAAACTGGGACTGTAAGACTGGATAAGTTGTATTAAAGTCTAGGATTCATTTTCACACCCGATTAATTACGACTCAAGTACAGCAAACGCAATAAGAATACTGTGAGCCTAGTCTTCATCGACTTTTTACCAGATGTTAGAACCACAATTATCCTTGTTTATTCTCATCGCTAATTGTTTTTAGTGGCCAGAATGCAACATACAATTCCAAGGGTAGTATCATCTTGCAATAGTCTTTCTGTATTGTAGACTTCTAACGGGCAGCACATAGTCTTTTAAGGATTTTTATTCACAAGGTTCCACCTTGATATGGTGTATCCACTAATTCATCTGACTTCATTTTCTTTTTTTCTTTAGGTATCAAAACCTAATCCTACTTCTCATGGGACATTTGTTCCACACGATCCATCGAAAAATGAGTTTACAGTATTTGTAAGTAATCTTGATTATTCAGTCAGTGAGGAACAAATTCGGCATACTTTTGAAAAGGTGAGTTTTTTAAACAAATATTTGTTATTTTCAACCGGTCGTTTGTTAATTTGTATTCACCCATATTCTGAATTGATTGTCAACTGGTAGTATGAAATTTTAAGTTGGATAACACATCATATTCCGTTTTTCACAGCGAACACTTATCCGCTTGATATTTCTCTGTTCAGTGGTATCGAGTTTCGGTGATCATTGTTTCATCGTTTCTCTACTCGTGAATTAACTATTCCTGATAATCATTACCCTTTATCCGTAAACAACTCACTGAAAATGTTAAGGTATTTAAAACCAAACTATATATATTTGTCGATTATACGGAAATTATTTCATAGTGACACTATATCACTTTAGTTAACTGTATACCACAAGTTTTTTCCCACATATGCGGTATACGAGAAGCACTTTTCAGATTTCGAACTTACCATTTGATTTACAAATCAATTTTACTTTCATCATTATTAGCATTGTTAACAACTGGAATAAAAGGACAACGTTTTCATCATTAAAACTGAACTCATAAATCATTTTTTTAATATTGTTAATTACCAAGCGTTGTGCAAAACTATTGAGCATCGTCAATAGAAGGTTTTAGATATAATTTGATGATTCCCAGTGTATTTTTAACATTATGTTCACTGGTCGAGATAGTTAAACTTGTCAAACTCTCTATAAACTAAAATTCACGTCTTTTAAACGTTTACTGGTATGGTGTCTGCTACTGATGTCGATGTATATTAGTAGTATATATCATCAATCGAAAGTGTAATACATGGCTGCAGAGGGTTAAGAAGATCGAAGAAAAGAGAATGATTGGTGTGGAAACGAAGGAACAATGAAGTCTGAGACGATTGACTGATCTTTTTCAAATGAAGTATTTACTGTATGATTCTCAGATTTTACTAAGAGATTCTGTAATTTTGTGTTCAAATACATTCGATTGTCCCCACTTGTTTTCTCGTTCACTACGCTGGAAATGATTGTTCAGTGGTATGGTAGAGAAAATTTGTTATTAAACAGGTTCTTAATATTGATCTTCAGATAGAAAAGTATTTCCGTATGTTATGGAATCTATGGTGAAATACGCTTTACATAACTCCTTCCACCGAAAATTATACAACAGTATCACTATCTATATTCATCTACTAACTGCTTATATTCTTGGATTGTCAGTTTTTGTCTACGTTTCCATAGTGAGTTATTCAATGTCTGAGTTTATATATGTATGTTTTACAGTATTCAACGTTTGGTTGATGACGTCATATGGAAGTATGTCTTGGAAATAGATTCAGTCATAGACACCTATTATACCTTTAGCTTAACAATATTTATGGATGAATTTTATGCCCGTGTCATCTGTAGATATTTTCAGATACGGTTATATTGATCTATAGAATCATTGTTTATTCTGTGTACCATTACTTATACTACGAACAGTTGCTAAAATTGAACCATCCAAATACTTGACTACTTTGTTATACTACTACCAAAAGCAGTTAACTCTCTTTTTTATGACAGTGTGGAAATGTGACATCTGTTCGTCTCGTACGTGATTACGCTGGTCGGTCGAAAGGATTCGCCTATGTTGAATTCGAAAATAAAGAGTCTGTGAAAAATGCACTTACACTGGATAGACAAGGAATTACACGTCCGACCTCAGAAAGTGTGCCATGTGACTCTGATAGCCAAAAACAAAAAGAAGAGGATAATGCAACAATTCCAAAACCACCTAATTGTTATGATCGTCCAATGTTTGTATCGATATGTGATCCAAGCAGACCTAAATCATGTGGATTTAAATATACGGTTGGCAAAAAAGAACCTGAAAAGTTATTTGTGCGAAATTTAGATAAAGCTGTAAAAAACGAAGATTTGGAAAAGTTATTCAAGCAGGTTAGTTCAAGCCTACATATATAGTAATATATATGTATAATTAAACTGATTCAGACAACTATATTTGAACAATGGCCATGGCTAGGTGGAAAATCCCCCTATTCGCAATACCCCACCTACACTTGCTTTGTAAATATATCATGTAGCCTTCTTGCGGCGTGTAATCTGTTCGTCGTTGAAACATCATGTGATTCGTTCGGTACGTCAGTACTACAGAACAATCATTGAATCATACATAGATCATCTAAAATCGTTTACTGAATAAATAAATATTCTGATTTTCATTCTCACCACAGTGTTACTTCTTACTAAATCTAATCTGATCTGCTGTGTCACATGGTTACTACTTTTATGTATGGACTGGGTGAAGCTTGATGATGTTATGTAAAACAATATAAACGTTAAATTAGTTCTCATTGTACTATTCAATCGATCAGCATCGGAGCGACTGTCACTTTAAAACTGGGCATAATGTTTACTACACAACAAGAGGAGTGAGTGAAGGTCTGGCTCATCTTATTTTAGACACAAATATTTCACTCAATGGAGAAAAGTAAGAAATATAATATACCTACATAAAATAAGGAAAATAGATAGCCTCAACTCCCAGCTCTAATGTTTTTATTCTGACAGCAAATTATTGGTTGATTCATAACTGCTTACATGAGGGCTCAGGTGCGCAACATATGTTGATGACACGATATTCCAACAACTAGTGGACCCTGTTATCATATTACCTTTACGCCTCAGTACAGTCAACACTATGAATTCACATTTATTGCTTTTGGTTTACCACTATCCATACAGCTTCTTTAGTTTAATAGGACCTCAAATAACAAGTAAACTTTGACCGCTATGCCAAGTTGGTGGCTACGGTTACGTTCAATGTAACTTCTCTTCACTTAAAGTTTTTCATGTCTAACTGACTGTTCTTAATATCCTTTACTTTTATAGTATGGAAATATTGTGAGTATTCGTCTAGCAACATATCGTAACGGTGTCCCAAAAGGTCATGCCTACATTGAATTCACGAATGCAGATGATGCCAGTAAAGCGTTAGTTGCCACAAATGGCTTAGAATTCAGAAATAAAATATTGTCAGTATCTATTAGTGAACCACCTGTACGTGATGGAAGTGGTCCGCAAGGCTGTAAATCAATTACATCAGAAGAAAAAAAAGTGTTCAAAACCCCCCAAATTATTAATTTGAGTGGTTCTCATCCCGTCGGAACTAGTGTGTACGTTCTATTACTTATTTGTGCAATAGCGTTTATTGAACTATGGGATTATTTTTCAAGCGGAAAGGTTCCGACAAAGAATCTGGGCTATACTCTTTTACTTATTAATTTATTATCTTACCGTTGCTTATTTATGTGTATATCCTCATGATTTGTCCAGTAGTTACTGACAACTAATGTACTCGACAAAACCTTTAGCTTCAGTCTGTCAAATTCATGGAAACACATTTTGTACCTCAAGTATTGATACTGAATCGGACAAACTACCGACTTTAAACTAATATAGAATCCATTACCATCTGCTACGGTCTGTAACTTAGGCTACTGTAAAAAAAAATGCATTTAAAAAAATACTGTATACTAAATCTCTGCCATAGAATATATCAATAAATCAACGGTTACAATCAGAACAGCTATCCATGTTGTAATGCGTGGCTTAAAGTTTACAATGTTAACGATTATTCAACTTACTCAATAGTTTGAACTTTACTCAAACGGATTGATTACAGATAGGCATCGTGTCACTTATCCTTAATGAGGTATAATTTATTTTCTTAGTTCTCACCTTAGTGTCTGCTGTTCAGCAGTTTCGCCACAACAGTATGTCAATAAATCTTCCATAGTCTGTAACTGTCATAGAGTTTTCACTATGATTATACATCTGTGTCATTAACTATTCACGAAATTCGGAGGTCAACAACTGGCTAATCTTCGTCCTTTACTGAAACAACTAAGAAGCATACTGGTCAGTTCTCTCGGACACTTATTATCATATACATGAGTCCTAATATCTATATCTATCTATCCATATATATGAGACAGTGTTATTGCTAAGTGCATGTAGCATTTCTAAAATATGTCCAATATATGAAATCTGTGAGGCTGATACTAGTTCATGTTTTATTGCCATAAAATCTTTTACATCAGAAAATTAGTAATCATTTCGAAATTTTGGTTTGGTTTAAATCATGACTCTGTCGCTGGCAATAGGTAACAAATAGCTCCACAACCTCATGTGTGACAACTTTTATCCTACCATTACCATTTTGACTACAGAATTCCTAATACACTGAGTATGTATTTGCTGGTTTTCTTCTCATATGGTTTGTATATTTCATTTGATCTTTGTAGACGGAAATCACGAACGCAGTTAGAATTTTTGCCTCGTGCAGTTCATCGAACACGTGAAATTCAAGATCAAGTGTCAGAAAGTAAGATGGATACTGGAACTATCGACCCTCAATCATCCACCGTTACTGGTAGTAAGGATAATGAGTACTTTCGAAGACTGTTGAAGTGACGCACGACCTAACTTTTCTCTTGTAAATTATTGAATATCAATTTTTATAATAAACCCTATGGTCAGTTTATTGGCATCGGTATCCCAAAACCCAGTTCTTTCTAAGCTTCTTGTTAGCTAAACTTTCTGGTTAGTACTTTCCTAACCTTCCTAATATACTTGATCAACTGAAAATACGGATGAGATTTCTTATCGGTTAAAAATGTGTGTAATGCGAAATGTGGTGTAATTACTTCTACAAAGTTTGACTGTTAATCATAAGGATGTAACACGCTGTAATTATAAATTGTAAGCTTGTTCCATTTTAACGGGTGCTTGATCATAAGCTAATGCTCAAAATATAAGGTACAAGTTCTCCCAACGTGTCACAGACGCATGACATTTAGACCACAGTACTCAGCCAAGCATCAAACAGAATTTGGACCTCAATCGTCGTCGAAGGCAGTTGGAACGTGAAGTGATGTTTTGTTGTTTACTGCCTCAAGGAATCTTATGTGGTGACTGAGAGCGTTGCTAACATGTAGTTTTCTAATGACTAAGCTTTGGCTTCGATCAGAATGCTTGGTTAAAACAAGGACGATATCCAAAGATATTGTTACAACGAAAGCTCTTACTTTTTTCACATGCTTTTGCTGGAAATTACCTGAACTGTACTAGACATCTTACGCTAATTGAAATATCCTTGTTTTTTTAAGTTTTTCTAACATCATCGTCGTTAATCTCCCAGGAATTCGCATTTCCGTTTTTAAACAACAGTTTATTCAACATAGTCTGTTCTTCCCTAGGATTCTTCCGTTTAGAAACACTCGTGTGGACTGTGAAGATCCTGTATACTGAGATTAAATAGGCGTGAATTTTGCATTTTGTGATAGTTTCTTTCGCACATATCATTCCATCAAGTGCACAACCACGTTATCTGAACCCGATACACCGAGAAAAAGCTTCCATTGGTTAGTTCCTACAGAACTGGTCAACTTGCTCTAATCCACGATCTGTTTCAATTTCCTCAAACAGTGCTTCTACATCAACGTAAGGAGACTTTGGATGAAAGTAGGAGAACTCAGGAAATTTTGTTTTCTTATGCTAACGAGAACGTGGCTTTCGTTTGAAGTCGAGTGACTTTTTCATGTCTGACAAGGAGGAAGAGCGACGATTTGTGTATGAGGTTATTTCGGCTACACTATGTCATTCGATGAAACTTATTTGTTGTTTCCCTTTACATGTATCGCTTCCCCTGTTACCCTCTATATTCAACTACATGTTCATTTTTTGTTTCGCTTGTGGTTATTATGATCATGTCGATTGTAATTTTTGAATGGCTATCAGCTCTCTGATATCCTTGTGGTTTCGTGTTTTTTAACTTAACATTTCGATTTTTGGAGGATGCCATAATGGATGGCCTTATTACAGGATAATCTTGTTTAAGTTGGTTCATTAAATCTATCCCTAAAGGATAGAGACATAATCTCATTTATTATATGATCATTAATTTGTGGATTGAATGCTTACCATTGGGGGCGATTTGATTCGTTATTTTTTGGATAGAGCACTATTACTGGATTATTGGGAACCCTTTTATGTATTTAGCAACTGATTATACAATCTCGCTGAATTTTGCGTTCTTATCAGTTGGCCAAAATTTTATTTTGGCCCAATTTCGGTTTTTATATGTATTCTTGTTCTTAGCACATTTAAACTTTTCTACCTACTTACTACGTTACTATGTACTAACTGTTTCACCTTATCGCCTTTTAGTAACGTTAAAATACAGCGCATTATAGAATCATCTCGGTACAGATCTATTAAACCTCATTAGGTTTAGGATTTCTCAAGGAGTTCTTTTCTCTTCTCAGTAGCACAAATGATCATTTATACCTCAGTCTACCTATATGTGTTAGTACAATTAGTGTATCGTTCATTTAACTATGAAGACAATAGTCTCTTAAATCGGAATATCGACCTAATTTCAAGCCAATCATCTACCAAAGGATCGGGAGGTCAGAACTAGTATATGACACTCGCCACAGCTGTTGCCAATGAAGATGCATATTTACCCGGACTTAGTCGTGCGGCTAGCTACAATACGTTTGAAGATACTGGGGGTCGTATCTCACTTGTAGTATCAGTGAGAAACAATCGGACTATCCGAAGGTATGATTAGAATCCCGTGTTACTACATATATTCAAGTTATAAAACAGTAAGTGCTGTGATAAAGGGTAGTGCTGTAAGTAGTTTCAGTTTTCGGACTTCTTAGAAAACTAGAGTACCGTTCACTTATGATGTGAAACAAAACAAATTGATGGGGCGTGAATTTGCGACTCTTCGTGTTTCCCTCTGAATTCATACCTTGTTGAAATTTAAATACGGTTATCAGGATGATTAATAAACGGAGTCTAAGGAATAACGTGGAAGCCAAAGCACTACAGGACTGCTTCATTCACTTTAGAAAAATAAACAACTGGTATTGTCAATCACAAGTCAAACGACATCTAGAATAGTAATGATAAATTACATATAATATTAAACAATATGGTCAATAAAATCGGATAAATTAAACCATTGATTGATGAACAGTCAAAACGTTTATGCATATAACTTACAAAAACGACAGATTATGTGACTTGATATGGAAGTGCATTTGGGATACAATCAGCTGGAGAGTAACGTAGTAGTTTCCAAGGTCATCTAGTCATCTCGTGCAAAGCAGAACTCTGTTGTGAAGCGTTTCTTCACACAGCTCGCTCATGAAATGTTCAGGAACGTGGATATGGTAAGGAGGTGGTTGACGCACCGGCGTAGGTCCTCTCTGTTCAAATGATAGCTGTATCTGCGTCATTACGATTTCTTTATTTTAGTTCGAACTGATATCCGGTAGCTGTGTAAGTGTCAATCAAAGAATTTATAAGTATCGGTCTGGATTATCGGGCAGAGTAAGGAGAAGTAATTTGAAGATAAATTGGACCTTTCTGTATTGCGTTCGGAGACCATATTCATCTAACATTGATACCATAATATTGTTCTTTAGTATTCTATCCACTTCGTTAGGGGGACATAGATTAAATCAAAGCATATTTCATGAACGATTGGCGAATTTCTAACCAATCAGCGCTGGTCGATACTTGGAAAAGACTACAATTTCCTCACACAAAAACTATAAATATACTAACGTTTTGTGCTCCTTACTTCCACCTTACCTTGACATTTGGAATATAATTTCCTTCCTGTTCAACCGTGTCCTGATTCAGGGACTTGTCGAGTGCATTGGTGTCCAAGGATATTAAGCAATAGGAATAGCCGGGTCGTAATAAGAGAATTATAACAGGGTTATTAAATGAATGTTATTTACTTCGTGTAATAATTTATCCACTTCGAAAGTAATTGCGTTGAGTTAAGGCGAGCTCTACTCGTCATCTACCGCATCATTTCTCTGAAGTTCGCTCGTGAAACCGATCGATTGATGCTGAATGATATTGGGGGCTGAATTTTACTTCTGGAGCACGCTGCTCGAAACTATCAGTCCAGTCTCTTCTGTAATAGTAAACATTCGACCATTTACAGGATACAAATTGCGTTTCCCCTATCCAGCCATCTCTACATGTGATTCCGTTGGAAACAATCCTCACCAATTCCTATAATACGATCGAAATCAAACAAGAAATCACTGTAGCCATGAACCGAAGGCATAGATCAAGGACATCACCGACTGCTGTATAAAACCTAGCTTTTGTCAACAACAAGGAGCATAGGGTGGCTGTTAGAAAAGTGTATCAACTGCATGGCTCCCAAAAGGCTGAAAATCAAAGCTGAAGGTATCAGAAAATGCATAGAATGGGTGCGACTATTACACCGGTGTGGTGATCAGAATGTGGCCAAATGTCCACCTCATCAATTTAGAGAAACTTTGAATATAGTACATGTTACGGAACAAACCTCATTATCGTTCTAGCGGTCATCGGTTGGGCGTTCATCTCAAATTCAAGTTAGACGTAACGAGCGTTAAGATGTAAAACGTGCCACTATAATATCACCAACAAAAGAGCATGATGGTCTGTGGAGTATTCGAACTGTAACGTACTAGTCTGGACGAAGCTCTCGGACACTATGTGTTAAAATGACGTTAGCTATCACGTAACATAAACCTTCATACTACTGTGAAAATAAGCGTGTCACAAAATCCTCGTTCATTATACCTTCGTAACTATGGGTGTTCATCTTCTTGTCTATATAAGAAATCAGGTAAGTGATCGAGTAAGACTTTATTCAGATCATGGAACATAAGAGTTGGAGCTCGAAGTTGTCCTTTTCAGGCACAAGGTTTTCAACAATCAATATAAAAATAAGGTAAATATAATGCTACACAAAATGATAAATAAACGAATACATGGGTCATAATGGTTTGCCGTTACTAAGGTATTAGCGGCTAACTCCTTACCAATCAATCTAAGTTGTCACAATACCTCACAACAGTTGATTCTCCGAGCCTGATGACTATAAATTCCAGAAGTTGAGAGGATCTAACTAAAGCTCTTCAGGCCCGATTCCTAGTGAAGACTGTCTTTTTCAGCCTTATAGGCTGTAAATGAGAACTAGATTAGCATTCGACGGCGAAGAAGCCAAATATTGCATACCCTAATGTCCGTCTACCTCGATCAACAAAACACGGTATATGACATATCGAGGGGCAGAAATTGTAATTTCTGTGATAACTGTACATTTGGGCAACGCCAAGGAGTATGATGTTTTTGGAAAAACTTCGAAATTAGACTGATCGTTCATAAATTATCTGATACTGATCAAGATTTATCATACTTAAGGATCGACAGGCAGCAGTGGTTAGGTAACGGTCATTTCCAAACCGTCACAAATGAGATATATCCAGAACCAAACGATAAGTTGGCAGCTTATTTTATGAGCCTCACACCCATAAGAGTGGTAAACACTTGTAGCTGTATCATTTTCTAACCAAACGACTTTGTAAGCTGAGCATAAGTTAACTGAGAAAATTCACATTCAACATTTAACACGTAGAGAAGCTCGTTCGGTGTAACGTGTCCTTCTTCATGTGTAATATATTATTCTATCTACAACTTAAGTGTGTTTTTCGGAAGTGCTGAGCGTCCTATTGCTCAACGTCTCGATATGACGGGTCAGTATAGACACTGACATGACTCCCATTTAAGATCCTGTAAATTAGGTAGTCACGTGACATCAAGTACTTGATGTCAGATCTGCAATTTCGAGGTTAAGTCTATTATTGTAGTGGCAAGTATGAATGTACTGAAACCAAACTAGGCCATTAATCAACAGACTGAGAATAAACGACCATAAGAAGATATGGAAGTATATATATCCGGAAATATGCCCTTCAAGGTACCGGGCTGAATAAAGAGAAACTCAGATCGCTTATTACAGTCAGAATGGAAAGCTTGTAACAGCCTAGGTTGGTTGGTTAAGAGTTGACCCCAAACAACCAAGCATATGCCAAAACAGTACTGTTCAAGTATTCATTCACTTCCTTGTTTTGTATAAGCGTTATATTCCCTATTATCTTATATTGAATGTTGAGAGCCTTTGTTTGTCTGAACAGGTAATCCGACGCTCCACTGTCACCGCGCTAAGATCGAAATAAAGACCTATTCACTACTTGTCTGGTTTCTTCTATCAATAGCACGAGGGTTACTTTAAGGTACGAAAAGCTTAGAAAAATTGAGAGGTTTCCACACAGTATTCTGACCACTGCTCTTACTTGGAGTCAGAAAAACATGCCCAGTACAAAGTGCGAAGGGGCATGACATACTTCTTGACCAAAGCAGCAGCTTAAATACAAAATGACCCGTAATGTCTGTACAAGTTTATGTCTGAGCGCAAATACGGAAGCCGGTGTTTCTGCGACCCTATAATACTTAGCGGTGAATGTATTGACTACCTGAAAATGGTAGAATTGTTCACAGGTCACTTTGAAACTCAGATAAAGTAAGAATTTGCAAAGGTGGGGCACCTTTTTACTCTAGAATCAGCTGACGTCCTGGAGAACATCTGCCTAACCCATGGGTTAGTTTTGAAGAGATTAAAATCCCTAAGACCATGAAAACTGCGAAGATTAGATTACAGCAAAAGCAATGAGTGGAGACCATCGGTAAACGGTTCTGTGGTATTACCATGCACTCACCTCAGTTTACATAACCTCTAAGACGATAAAAACAAGATACACTTTTCCCAATGTTCACGAAAAGAAATATAAAGTTCATCTGGTTATAGACCGATTGTATTACTCTCAATACTGTCTGAGACAATAAAATGGTAGACCAGTGACTTAATGAGGGAATATATGAACAAGCACATTATCATCCATGAAGCCCAACACAGACACGGAGCTGGCAGGTTTCGCGTGTCTGGTTTTCGCTTAGCACGAGATGCCTGGACAGGTTGCCGTGACCAAGAGGTACCAATCTATGTTATTTTCCCGGAATTAACAGGACCGTTTGACACGGAACAGCGTACAATTATATAGAGATGGTAGCTGACTCACTTGGCACCGAAAGTATCCAAGGAAGTGGATGTTCATCACCAAAGTAAATATTGCTGAACTTATACTCGTTGTGTAAAATTAACAGCTTTTGTACTGATGAAACGCAGAAATCTTATGCTTTTCACGATTATTAATTCTCAGCCATCTCTACAGAACGCGACTAGGGATTACCAACAGAATGCCTAAAGTTCAGTGGTAACTACCAGGAGGAAGCGATCAAAACATACGTAAACCTCTGTCCCATTCAAATACAATA